AATCCATTTTAATGAGCCGATCCTGCTTCTACCAAATAAGGATTTCTTTTTAATTACCTTAGAAATTAAATAAAACATATTAATATTAATCAACTCTTTCTGTTTTTTCAAAAGCTACTTACTAACCAAGGCCAGGCAGGGCTACATTGTGAGTTCAAGGCGTGCCTGGACTACCTAGTTAGAGGCTGTCTCAAAAGTAAAATGAAATATATAAATGAATGATTAGTAAAATGAAAAAAATAATGGAATTCAATATTTCCAGGCTGGCCACTTTTTTACAGAAGTTTTTCAGGGTCAATCACTTCACCACTGTTTTATGCCCCCACTAGCTTGGGAGATGGAGACTGGACTCCAGAGGTGATGAGCACTTGGTAAGGGCTTTTACCTCTCCTCATCTGCAAGGATCAAGGAAGGAGAAAAGTGATTAACAAAGGGAATGAATAGGCCTGCTGCCCATTTTCCTTCCTATGTGTCTTGACAAGAGAGGGAATTTTGGTACTTGCAACTATAATTCAAGCATCATTCCAAGCTCTTCAACAATTATTATGTTTTAGCCAGGGAAGTTCTTTGTTTCTTTCTCTTGCCACCACTCCTTTCTTGGTGAAGTGCTTTTTAGGCTGTCTTTCATTTCTGGGCGTCAACTTTCTGTAATATAGTGCAGTAGGTGGAATGGTCTTTGCTTCTCTTAGCACTTCCTCTTCTTACCCCCTGTTAAAAGGGCTGATCTCTTTCTTAAATGTCTACTTCCTTTTTACTACAATTCTAGTTCATTTTCCAGCATTTGTTTTACTGTTAGTCATTGGTAGAAGATAGTAGAAGATAGATGTTATGATATTTTCAAGGTTTTGGGTGGTATAAAAAGCAACTAATCGAATTAAATGTGAAGGGTCAAAGGACTTCACCAAGGTTTTGTTATGTTTGGTTTGTACAGGGGATTGAATATTGGGCCTTTCTTCTGGAGACATCTTTATCCTGTTTTTCCTTTATATACAATTTTTAAATAAGTGCTCATTAAGTTGTCCAGGCTTCTGAGTTAAGAAAATTTGTATTACATGGATCTACTACTTATTAATTCAATTATGGACACAATACTTTCTGATATGTACCTAACACCCTCATTGTTAAGAGTAAATAAATATTCAAAACTGCTTGGTACACAATTTAACATGTTGTAGTATGGAAAATAACAATTAAAAATTCAGAGTAGTAAGAGTCAGAATCTTTGCATAATGCTTATGAACACATCAATGAATCAGACAACACATTTACCCACAGGGAACTTAAGATAAAGTGAAGAAAATACAATGTAAAGAAACCTAAGGCATATACCTGTATGGCTTGACATATTTATGTTTCCTAGCTCTTCTCCTTTCTCTCTATTAGTTAGTCCTTGAGATCCTGTTTTCCTTTTACTTGTATTATACATTTATATTTGTATTTCTTCTTTTGAGTTCTTATACTAGGGAATCTATATGATATTTACACATGTATGTTTATTTCACTTATGAGTATATGTTCAAGTGGCATTCACTTCAATATAAAGACTTCAAGTTTATCATTTTTAATAGCTGCAGTTTATTATTTTTAATAGCTGAATAATACTCCATTGTGTAAAAATACCACATCTTTTTCAACCATTCCTCAGGTGATGGACATCTTGGTTGTGACTCATCCACATGGCTGACACTGACAAAGGGTCTACAATCTGAGGTACAGGATCTCAGGATTAATCCTGCGGGGATTTCACTGACCTTATCAGACCCAAAAGCTACAACTCTTGTTGCATAGGTCCTGCTTTACCTTGGTCTTAACCATCCAGCAGAAAAGTATAAAAACAAAATATAAAAAGTAAAGCCATGCTGTTATGCTGAGCTGTAGGGGACTCAGGTCAACAATTTCTGACAGTGCCAGTGAAGTGGAATACCCAATACTATTATGGACTACTGGACTCTTTTAGAATATTTTGCTGAGTTTACACACCTATAATATTCAAATAATGGAACTTAACAAAAAAAAGGGTAAACAGATGAATGTCCATTTTGTATCTTTATATTCAAAGCAGTTAGGATAGATATATAGTTACATTCTCTTAATGAATAGAGGGATTTGTTCTAATGGTGTTTGTAAATAGGATATCATGTTCACATCTTGTACAGCAATTAACTACTAGGAAGAATGTATACAATCTGTTAATTATTGAAACTGTCCTACCAATTTGATTTGAAACTGTCTCATTGCTATTTGTTTATCAATAAATTATATTAAAAAAGAAACCTAAGGCAGAGTATCTGGTTTAAGGCATTCATCTGCATGTATATGAGATCTAAAATTGAAGCTTGAAGGATGTACAGTTTCCTGGGAAATTATAGAAATAAAGAAATTTTAGATAGAAGGAACTGTCATAAAACAATTTGGTAATTGGAGCTTTGGGAAGAGGTGGAGGGATAGAAGGAAGAGGATAAGGAAACAAACAGGGCATATTGAAGAATTTATGGTTTCATGCCAGAGCTTGAATTTTAATAATTCCTAAGGTTTTCCCTATTTTTGTAAAATTATGGGTAATCATACTTTGTAGATTTGTTGTGAAGATTAAGTACAGAATTTGCCTGAGTATATTTTTCATGTTGAAGCACTTAATATTGTACCTATAATTATCAGTCTATGGGTGATAAGAAATCTTTTAGATTTTGCTATATTTGTACAAATGAAAGTCCATTATAATAGCCCGAAATTTTTTTCCATTGTGTGGGTTGTCTCTTCAAAAGCTCATTAAAAAGATGAGATGCTTTTTGTTGATTCTTTGTATTATTTCCATTGTTTCATATTTCCTTAGTGCGTAGTGAGAAATGTGGTTTTATGTTTAATCAGGGGCCAGTTTTTCTAGCATCTAGATTCTCTAAAGAGAATCTTTATTTCCAGTGAAAGTATTTGATAATTTTGTTAAAGACAAAGTGGCTGAATGTATTTGGGGGTTCTTTCTCTGGTTGAGTTTTTCTAATTGATTCCATTGATCCTCATTTCTGTATTTGATCGTTTATGCCAGTACCATGCTGTTTTCATCACAGTAGTTTTGTAGTATAATTTCTAATCACGGCTTGTGATGCCCCTACCTTGCCTTTCTTATACAGAATTGCTTTCTTTATTCAAGAATGGTCATTATCAACTCCATGGAAACATTGACTAGAAAAATTAGAAAAGAAAAAGAAATTAAAAGAATAAGGCTAGGAACAGAAAAAGTTAAATTAACATTATTTGTGGATGACATGATACTCTGCAGAGACGATCCCACAAATTCCACCAAAAAACTTCTAGATTTATTTATTTATTTATTTTTGCATTTTAGGGAAGGTTCTACAGGGTGATCAGAGTCTCACTACTAGATCAGACTCACAGTGATCCACCTACTTATAGCCTCCCGAGTGCTGGGATTACAGGCGTGCAAAATAATTCTAGATTTAATAACTAAAAGAATTCATGTAGCTGAATAGAAATTTAATAATAAAAAATCAATAGCATTCCTGTAAATAAATAATAAATTCATTGAGAGAGAAATTTAGGAAACCACATCCTTCACAATAGCATCTGACAAAATTGAAATACTTTAGAATCAATCTAATGAAGGAAGTAAAAGACCTTTACATTGGAAACTACAGTAGTCTTAGAAAAAGAGGTCAAAGAGTGCATCAGAACATGGAAAGATATTCCTTGTTCAGAGTAGGAAGAATGATTATAGAGAAAATATCCATACTTACAAAATTACTATACCAAATTACAAAATGCTGTCTGCCTACTTCACAGAATTAAAGGAAACAATCCTGAAGTTCATTTGTGTGAATTCTTTAGAAAAAAGTATTTGATACATGGAAAACACAACCAATGATGGAAGAAAAATGTATCATAGCTACTTTTCTATATATTACATTATATACACAAAAGCAGGAAATGCAGTGCAGTGATTAAGAGCATGAGTCTTGAATCCAATTGACTTTTTATTATCCTAGTTCTACTACTTAAGAGCTTTATGACCTGTAAAAATTATATAATCATTTTCTCTCTTCACTGAAACATAGATGCCTTATTTATTCTTCTCTCATTTCTGGAAAAATACCCGACACCCAAAAGGAAGGAAAAAAAAGGTTCATTTAGCTCAGTGGAGGATTCAGTGCACACACATCTGGCTCCAAGGCAGAGTGGCACATGGCAGAGGGCAGGTATTCATGGCAGTTTAAAACAGCAAAACATCAAGCAGAAAAGGGAGGAATAGCAGCAGCACTGGCAACAGAGAGCAAGTCTATCTCTCTTATGTTGCATTCAGGCTGTCTGCCCTAGGCTGGGCGTAGCACTCACACCCATAATCCCAGCGGTATCGATGCCCAGCACTGGATTATGACTTAATCACAAAATCTAGACGTCCACCCCGTGACTATGGTAAACTTTGGGAGGGGGGGGGAACTAGACACACATCATAACAGTGTATGGTTTAAATTAAGCCATACATATGGTACATTTAAAATGATTGCCATGTAGAAATTAACTAAATTGATGTTTATCATTGTGGCATTAGAAGTGCTCAATTTCTCATCTTATGTTACTGTTGAATCATAATTTATTTTGGCACTCTCCAATTTTTGGTCATTTGAGTTATTTTAAATAATTTATTGTGATATACTATAGTAATAATCACCCTACTTTTCTGCTTAAGAATAACAATAACTCCCTATGTTTATAAGTGAAAAATTGCTGTTGTTAACATTGTCCCACTGTCATTGCCATTTTCAACTTGAATAAACTCTTTCAAGATCCTCTTTCATTATGTGATCTTACCAAATCACACATACAATTAACCCACATAGCACGTCATATGAGTCATATGAGTTTGTTTCAGCCCCAGGGTATGAATGGAAAACAGAACCATTTTATGCGGTTAAAGTTATCTTCCTGAGGTGTAACCCAAAGCTGAGACACAAATGACTCAACAAAGGCATTTCTCAATTTGGGCTGTTGGAATCACACAAGACCAACTCTGCAGTTATCCTGACACTTGGGATAGGTGAGTTTAAATTGTTACATATTTTGAATTTATAATGTTTTATTTTTTCACAAAACATTTAAATGTAAATATAATCATTTAAGTAGATTTCCTGAAATCATTTATAAAAACACTATAGATCAGTGTTGGAAAATCTATGGCATGCATATGCAGTAGGCACACAGAGCCCTCTCCGTAGACAAAGAAGCCAAGTTGCCCAGCAGCTAAGTGTAGGAAGATATCTGGTGCTTTTACTAATCGAAAACCTCAATATTTATTGCATATTTTGGAGTTTGTGAGAAATAAGTGGATTTTGGGTTACAATTTGGGCATTCAGTCTCTAAAAGACTCACCACTGCTACAAATTTGTAAGATGAAATGTTCTTTAAATTTTCTACTCTTTCCTTTTAAACCTGTACAAAATTTTTAGGGAAAATTGAAATGTATAAATTGTAATAAAACTCATGCAGAAGACGAAAATATGTGTTTAGGGAAGAAAGTTTTGAAAATTAGCAAAAGAAAGACAGCAGAAAACGACAAGCAAGAATGAAAGAAAGAAAGAATAGGGGAAAAGCAAAAAGAGGGAGGAAAAGAATAAGAATAAAAGAAGGGAAAAAAGAATGTAAGCAAAGGCAAGATGTGAATTTTCAGTAACATAGGAAAGTAAATGTAAGTGTTTATGTAAATCAGAAAGCTTGCTAGAATCCAAACTATATATAATTTCATTATGTTGGATCCATTTTAAGGTATAGTAATTTCCCCAATTTATGATTCAAATGGCAATAATTAAAATTACCATGAAAGTGAATGGCTTAGAGTAAGATTTAATTTTAAGTAGACTCTTGGAAAAGGAGTTAAGCAATTTAATCATTTCTACATAAATTCTAAAAGACAGCTGAAAATAGTAATTCTACATCTATAAATTTATACTTTTTAAAAGATTGCTGTGAGTTCAAGACCAAATGGGCTACACAGCAGGCACCATATATTATAATTAGACCAATAGTCCTATGAAGAATGAAAGAAAAGTAGTACTATCATTTAATTGATGAGGAAATTCAGGTCTGGAAGTAAATCACTCAATGCTGAAAAGTTAGTGGCATGTTTTGTTTTATCTTTTTAGCAATACTATGTTGCTGAAGCACATTGGCTTAAGATGAGGTACATTCTTTTTGTTTTGAATTAATATTTTATTGTCATTTATAATCAGATGGCAGTTGGGTATATAGTTTCCATACTTATTTTTTTGTAAATTAAAAAAAAATTAAGTTTTAAACAGCTGTAGTTACGTTCTTCAGAAAACACAGTTAGACTAACTCATTAATGGTAGCTTCAAGCTTCTCCTTATTAGCGCCGGAAAACTCACTCACCTTCCCCCCTTTTTAAAAAACTGGAAGCTTGGCACACACTTGACTTGGCAGTCTGCAGCAATGTCCTGACAGTCATCCACATCTACTTCAAGGAACAACATGTTGGAATATGATGAGGTACATTCTTACTGCATTTCAATGTACTTTATCTTAAATTCTTTTTTATTATAGGGATCTACACTTATTTTGAAAATCTTGTGGAATACAATGCTTGGAGAAGCCATCCTATTTGAACTCCTATACAAGGAAGAAAAATATACAAGTTTTTGTAAACCACAAGCATGTAAGAAGACCTCAAATAATGAAAAGGAAACTTGGAAAAATAATCTTTTAGATGTGGAAGACAATTTAAATGCTCCTCATAAGACAGAAAATAAAAAGAACATTATGAGAGAAAGTATAACAGGACAAAGTAATACTGCAAGTCAAGTAAAATCTGTGGATGACTTATCTGTGGTGAAATGCAAAATTGCACATGTTCCGAGAAATGTGTCTCTTGCATTATCTGTTCCAAAGAGAGACCAATCTGATAAGAAACAATTGGATTTATATCGATCCTGTTCTTATACAAGTATTTGCTGGAATTATTCTGATCTACAGATTGGAGGTGACAATGTGAGGAACATATATGAGTCAGGTTGCTTTGTGGAAAACAAACATGATGATGTTTTTAATGGGCCCCTTATATTTTCAGGGGATATTCCCTTGGGTCATTCGCCTATCATAATGGAGCCTTTAGAGCAAACCTCCACTTCGAAGTTATTGAATGGGGATGAATTTCGAGAAAGAAGTATGCTGTTTTTTAAGCAACCGCTCTCTAATTCTATGCTTAATAATTATATGGAAAAAAAGGTCAATGAATTCTACAAACAAGTTTTGGAAGAAGATCTTACAAGATGCTGTTCCATAACTAATCTCATGGTTTCCAATTTGCTAATGAATAATGCAAATCATGCTAGCCTTCACATTGCTCAAGAACAGAACACAGAGGCATCTAAAGCTTGGCAAACTCTCCCACACTGTTTAGCAATACAGAAATTTCCTAACATTTCCCATGGAAACAGCTCTGAATTCAGCACTCCTTACTTGCAAATATCAAGCGAGGCAAGTGGGAAACCTATATCATGTCTAAAATAGGAATCAACTCTAAGGTGGGTGGACTAACTTTAGAATGTACAGTAGCAATCCTTCTTTGGCTTGTCATGTCACATTTGATCTTCTTTGAGGTGTAGTTACATATTCTTTTGAAAATTGATTTTACTCACCATAATTCAATAAAAGAAAACTGTAATAAATAGTCTTTAATACTGTATTTTCTTGCTCTTTTGACATTTTAATTAGTGCCACATTCAAGTTTATATGTTCCATGTGTGTTTATCTAATTTTCACTGGCACTCCAAATCTATTACTCCACTATAAATTGGTTTTGTGTTCCACAGAAGTAGGATGCAGAGAGCACAATTTGTTTAATTACTAAAAGGACAAGTGCAAGCTACATGAGAAACAGAGACATTTTTCTCCACAAAAGTTTTTACAGACATATTAATAATGTTTAAATATGATGCATTTTATTTCTGACATGCAAGAGTTTTCATAATGACAATAAGAGTACTCTAGGGGAAGTCATGTGTCCCTGTGGACTCACACAAATGAAATTACTTTAAATAAAAATAGGATTTAAATAATATTTGAAACAATATGGAAAGATTTTAACTTCTCTGGGCCAGTTACCAATTTTTTTTACATCATTATGAAATTACTGGTTGTTTTTCAGCATGGGAGTCAGAAAAACACAGATGAAGTGATAGAACTGTACAGAGAACCATTATGTAGTAGTGAAGAGACACTTTGGCAAATTAATATGCTATTCCCATTATTTCAAGTCATGATCCTGGTTTATCATAAAATTCAGTGAGATGTTATTGGAATCTTGAGATTTAAAAGAAACAGATTCGCAAAATAAAGCTTACGGAATGAGTTGCTTATTGCAGTTTGCAAACAGCATACCACACTTAGAGCTCACACACTTAGAAATAGTGACATGATTGTCATACACACTTGCCTTTCCCATAAAAAGATAAACTTTCTAATTGTGGAAGTTGTGTGATTGCATTATAAAGATTCGTTCACTCATACTCATATATTCTACTTCAATTATCTCTTTTGTCTTTATTTAAATTTTATAGAATGCCAGCTGAATAGAATAATAGGGTTTATCTCATGTTCCTTATTTTTATTCACTTTCAAATTTTATGATCTATGTATGAATTTTCCCTTGTTATCTTTGTTTTCCTCTTTGTGACTCCTTTTTTTATTGTATTTAAGACAGGGTGTACAGGGTCTCACTGCATAGATCAGACTCAGTGATCCTCCTGTTTACAGGCTCTCAAGTGCTGGGATTGTAGGCGGAGCCACCACATCCAGTCTCAATCACCATCTCATTGTGTCCTGGGGGTGGGGCCTGCACAGCAGGCCAGAGATCAAACTCCCAGCCAGTGTGTCTGCCTTCAGGAGCTTTTATCTGCTGAACTATTCTGCTGGATTATGACTCCTGTCTTTATCAACATCTTCCATTGTCACCCCAATTGATTTCCAACAATTGGACTTTGATTCTGGAGCAAAAATGGGGAAAGGTTTATTAAAATCTGATTTGCTGTCATGTAGATATAGAAAAACAGTTGTGTAGATATTGCATATTTTTAAATTTTGTACATTTTAATTAATTAATTTATTTATTTTTTGCAGTACCTGGGATTGAACTCAGGACCTTGCACTTGCCAGGCAAGCAGTTATTCTACTGATCTATCTCCCTGGCCCTAAATTTTGTGCATCTTAGATATCAGCTATCAAAAGCAGTGATATATTTATAGTAAATCTTATGCTTTCCAAGGGGAATTAAATGTTGGTTAACATTTCTAATACATAATTTTCTGATACATAATTTTCCTATGTACAGTAATACACATTAATGATTATGAAACAGTTCCTTTTATTATTTTGAGACTTCTTAGTGCTGTGTACAATCACAATATTTAGTTGCTATCACATTGAAAATGCATTCAATTGTTCTTGGATTTAATATTTGCTTATTTCTCCTTTCTAAAATGCTGATTATGCAAATATCCTCACTTAAAATTAAAATTTACTAAAATTAAATGCAATCATTAAATAATGAAAGTTAAAGAATTTGTTGTTTTGTTTTATACTGATCTCATACTTGCTAACTTCAATGTTTAAATGAATTATGCATATGGTTAGGTTTAACATAATTTATATATAAGTAGTTATCTTTTCTTGTATTTTTCTCTATGGGTTGATTATACTGAACCCTTTCATGGTATTTTTTGAAGTGTTGTAGTAATAAGTTTCTTCCTGTTTCAGTATTACAAGAGTGATGTATTAGTTTTGTGATTATAGAAAAATGGTGAAAGTTATTGACTCTGTAGTTGAGAATGATCATCTTGTTTCCACAGAGAATAAATGTACAAGTTTAAAAAGATGGCAAAAACAGTGCTGATACCTTACTGTAGAAATCAGCTTACTTTATATTCTATCTTTGGATTTGAGGTAATAATTAGAGGTCCCAGAAAGGGCTTGACTCAATCTTTGATTACTATGGTCAGGAAAATCCTTGAAACATCAAAACCTATTCAAAGTATAATCTCTATCCCAGATTCCTGGAAGTTTCAGGCTTGATCTGTATCATAGGTTAGTTTCTTTAAAGAACTACTCTCCCTCAAGTTTTTAACACAAGAGCTAACACTACCATGGTATTTTCAAAGTTATAATCAGACTTTCAGGATCTTATTAAAACTGATATTCGAAATGAGAATGTTGATAATTCTTAAGTTGAGGCAGAGTATAAAACTAAATATACTAAAATATATACATATAGCTATGAATATTTAATTTTTCACAAAATAAATTCTGCTAGTACAGCATTACTACTTAATTGTTTAGATCTATTGTGAAGATATGATTTTATGAGCATTATTACATGTAATACATGAGATAATTTTGCAGCTAAGTGTAGATTTCATATTATATAGGAATATTTCACCAAGTTAAAGTGATTTATTCTTTTCAGGACTAGTCATTTGCATGGAGAGTTTGTTAATTGGCCAAGTATGAGTGAGGATCCATGAAAGATGAAGTAGTTATTTGAAAGAGCAACAGAAAAAGGCCAAAATGGTTCTCATAATATTAAATAATGAAAAATTGTCCTTTTAAAACCAGACCCTTTTAAAAACTTTTGACACTCAATCATATTTATGTATGCACAAAGACTAGCATAAATTTTTAATTTTGTTTTTGCAGTGGCAGGAACCATATGCAGTTTCTTGCATATGTTCTACCACAGAACTACACATCTGGTGCAAAATAGTCTTATTATGCATTGGTTTAGTAGTTGGTGCAGTATAAATGCACTGTATTATTTATTAGATTGTATGTGATAGCCTTTAAAACAAAGAGCTATTCTGAATAGCTCTTTTAATTGTTCTGGTATTTCTACATAGAGCTAAGACATTTGTAGTTTAGTAACTGGACTATAGTTATGTTTTTTACTTCCTCAGATGAATGGATATTCTATATCATGAGAAATAGAAACTGTCCAAAATCTTGTTTTGGGGCTGGCCAGATAGTTCTGGGACATAAAGCACCTACTAGGGCAGATGCAGGACTGTGTTCCATTCCAGTGTGCTATGCTATCCCTCCTACCCCCCCCAGGGGTTGCTGAGAAAGAGATTGAGACTGGGCATGGTGGCACACACCTGTAATATTCACACTTGTGAGGCTGAAAATAAAAGTATCACTCTGAGTCCAGTTTGTGAAGTGAGACACTGTAGATACTGTACTGAAATATAGAAAATCTCTTGTTTCACTTGAGTGATGGAAGTTCACAGAAGGTTTACTTCTTGAATTTTCTTTCCATTGTTATAAGGTGGATATATTTCTGCAAAATAGAATTTACATAGAATATTTAAAGTTTAGGAAGCAGCTCAGGATACCTTCTCTTTAAGAAGTCAATTCTTCTTTGGAAATCTGTATTACTGTAGGTCAACCTTAGAGTAGTCTTCTACTTAGGAGAAACTTAAGAAATATTACACGCGTTCTGATAGTATGGGGCAAGATTGAGTTCAGAGCATGTCTTTAAGACAAGAATAAATTCTAAAAGCTTTCTTCCAAGAGACATATCTTCAACATATTCTAAAAAATACTTATCAGAATGTCCTTTATAATGCAAATATTTATTATTCCCTGTGATATGTGCTAGGTATAAATTGATACAATTCATATTTTTCACTGAGATTACGGTCTAGCTGATATAGAATCAGAAAACAATAGTAGGGCTGGCTGGGGAGAGATAGCACAGTGGTCTAAGAACTTGCCTCACACATCCCAGGAACAAGGTTCTATCCCATTTAGGACATTATGTGCTGGGCCCAGAACCCTGGGCATGCAGTTCCAGCCTCTGAAACTGGGTGTGGTGCCACATGCCTGTAATCTGAATGCTGTGGAGGCTGAGACAGGAGTTCACTATGAGCCTCAGGTACATAGTGAGACCCTGTACCAAATAAAAAACAATAGTAAATAAAAAGTAATTAGAAAATATTTTATTTCTATGTAAATAGAAAATCATTTCAATTCAACTTTATAGCCATAAAGGGTGTAAACATATATCTGACAATTTCGTCTCCTTGATATATTCATATTGTATTCTGAATTTCGTTTATAGGACATTATTTTTCATATCCATCAGTATGGCTGTAGCAATTACTAAGTATTTTGAAAAATCTCTATGCTCACTGGTTTGAACCTGTTGTCCACAGCTCTCCAAATCTTTCCACTATGATCATCCTGGCCATTCTGGCCCTTCCATCTGGTACTTGTACCCCCTTACATTCCAGCAACTAAACAGTCAAGAGCCCTCAAGAACCCAGCTCAAACATTTCTTATGGCAGTTTTTGTTCCTATAATTTGTTAAATGTTGATTTTCATTTCTGTCTGTATCTACCTCAGCATTGGGGCTCATGTTCCAAAACTTGCTCAGTACAACTATATTACTCCAAGATCTGGACTCTAGGTTTTCTTACAGTTCTTGAGAGAACTGTACTCAGGAGCTAATATTGAACTTC